GGGGGTACCGTTATATGGGGGCTATACGAAGACGTGGATCTGCACAGATAATTTTCTGACATGGGCTGAAGTATCCATTACGAACTTCACATGCGACATTTGAAACAATCCCGGTAAATAATGTCGCTAAAATCATCAAAATACCGAATATCGGGGGGTATGGTATATGGGGGCTATACGAAGACGTGGACCTACACAGATTATTTTCTTTATTAGGCTGTAGTATCCATTACGAACTTCAAATGCCAAATTCCGTTGAATAATGTCGCTAAAATCATCAAAATACCTAATATCGGGAGGTATCGTTATATGGGAGCTATATAATAACTTGGGCCTACATGGCCCATTTGCGAACTTAACCTGCCTACTGGCAAAATATACATATGTGCAAAATTTTAGCCTTCTATCTCAATTAGTTCGAAAGATAGCGTGATTACAACAGACAGACAGACAGAAATACAAACAGACAGACGGACAGACAGACACACAGGCAGACAGCCGGACATGGCTAAATCGTCTTAGAATTTTACTCTGATCAAGAATATATATACTTTGTTGGGACTGACATGAGTATTTCCAGGAGTTACAAACGGAATGACAAAATTAATATACCCTCCATAGCATGGTGGAGGGTATAAAAATAAATAAACACAATGTATGTGAACTTTACATTTAAATCAAAACCGTCGAAAATTTGACTAAAATTGTAAAAAATATTAATATGCGGTGGTGCCGTTACATGAAAAATTGGACCCATGTTGACTTTTGTCTGCTACAGTGGTTTGAGACACTTCAGTTGATAACACTATCTGGAGGTACTTTATATCGGTTTTAAAATAGAAATGGGTTATTTATTCAAAATTTTCTGCCACCAAACGCAGATTCCATTACAAACAATAAATGCATTATTATAAACAAGTTAAAAAGCAGTTAGTACGGCAGGGACGAACTTTGAATACCCTCCACCAGTTGAACGAATTTAGAAATTTCCAAAAAATAAAAACCATTAAAAATTCTGTTAAAATTTTTAAAAATACCGAATATAGCCGTTATATTGGGGTTTATACGGCGTGGACCTACATTGTTGTCATAAGCCATTACCATTTTCAAATAAATCATCAAAACACCGTACATATCGAGGTACCGTTACATCGGAGCTATACGAAGACCTGGACTTGCACAGGCAATTTTCTGTTCCAGTCTGTAGCATCCATGACGAACTTAAAATGCGACATCTCAAACAATTTTGGTGAGTATTGTACCTAAAATCGTCAAATTACAGAATATAGGAAGGCAGTTGTAGGTGGGGCCTATACAAATTCCTGCACGTGCATAGCCAACTTTCTGTCAAAGGCTGTAGTATTCATTACGAACTTCAAATACCAAATTTGAAAGAATTCCGGTGAATAATGCGCTAAAATCATCAAAATACCGAATATCGGGAGGTACTGTTAAATAAGAGCTATACGAAAACGTGGACCAAATTTGAAACAATTCCTGGGAATAATGTAGCAAAAATCATCAAAATACCGAATATCGGATGGTCCGGTTGTATGGGGGCTATATGATTAGAATTTTACGCTGATCCAGAATATATATATACTTTTTTGGGTCTTACATGAGTATTTCGAGGAGTTACAAACGGAATGACAATGTTAATATACCCTCCATAGTATGGTGGAGGGTATAAAAACCAAAAATGAGGACGAATTATTTGGAACGCCTACTGTCTGGGGTACAGCAATATGGTGGCTATAAAGAGTGAGGAACTAGGTAGATTATCAAATAAAGTGGTTATCTACTGAAATGGTGTGTTTACTTACAAAAACAGATATGAATACTGCTGTTGAAAATGTCGATTAATTAACAAGATGTAATTAACCAAAAATGAGGACGAATTATTTGGAACGCCTACTGTCTGGGGTACAGCAATATGGTGGCTATAAAGAGTGAGAACTATGTAGATTATCTAATAAAGTGGTTTATCTACTGAAATGGTGTGTTACTTACAAAAACAGATATGAAATACTGCTGTTGAAAAATGTCGATTAAATTAACAAGATGTAATTTGAATTGTTATGATTATATAGCATTTTCAGATTAAATGAAACCTTTTGCAATTCAAATGAATCTTTTTGCAGCGGGAATGAAACCTTTTGCAGTGGAATTGAAACCTTTTGCAGTGGAAATGAAACCTTTTGCAGCGGGAATGAAACCTTTTGCAACCGAAATGAAATCCCTTTGCAACCGAAATGAAACCATTTGCAACCGAAATGAAACTTTTTGCAAATCAAATGAAACTTTTAAATTTATAGAAGGAAAAATAACAAAACATTTTTATTTTTAGTAGGTTCAAAATTAAATAAACTAATTATAACTAATATATAGTTAAAGAGGAATTTTTATTGATTATTAATAACTATGTTTTTATAAATTTTTTTCTTAAGCTTCCATAACACACAAGTGTAGATGCAGAAAGATTGAAAAAAGTTTTTCAAGGTATTTTTTTTCAAAGGACCCGAATTAGGTACCTTTTTATAATCTCCTCCATGGAAAGGAGGATATATTAAATTTGCCATTCGGTTTGTAACACCTCTAATATTCGTCGTAGACCCCATAAAGTATATACAATCATGATCATAGTTGATTTAATGATTTCCACTTATCTGTCTATTGAAATCACGACTGCTTTATATCCATAATCAATAAAGCTGCGAAGCGGGAATCCTTTATTAGGAAAGATTAATAGTATACTATAACTATAAAAAATTGTGGTAAAGCTTAATTTCACATTTCAGTCCTGGCCATACCTATAAAGGCCAAAATTTGTTTAAATTTCTCTTTTTAGCGTTAAGCATTTGGAATTTAATAATATGGAAGCATTTTATATCAAATCAATAAAGAACCATTTTTTAATACAATAATTGAAAATTTAAGAAATAATATAAATAAATGTAGATATTTATAGTCAATAAAAAATCCTCTTTGTCAATATATTAGTTATAATTAATTGATTTAATTTAAAAACTACTAAAAATATAAATGTTTTGTTATTTTTCCTTCTATAAATTTAAAAGTTTCATTTGATTTGCAAAAAGTTTCATTTCGGTTGCAAATGGTTTCATTTCGGTTGCAAAGGGTTTCATTTCGGTTGCAAAAGGTTTCATTCCCGCTGCAAAAGGTTTCATTTCCACTGCAAAAGGTTTCAATTCCACTGCAAAAGGTTTCATTCCCGCTGCAAAAAGATTCATTTGAATTGCAAAAGGTTTCATTTAATCTGAAAATGCTATATATATATACATATATATATATATATATATATATATATATATATATATATATATATATATATATATATATATATATATATACAGAACGGTGCTGGCATATTTGCAATTTTACTCAAATTTTACTACAACGTAAATTATGTCTGCAGTACTTTTGTCCACGTTATGGTATAGCCCTCATATAATGGTACCTCCCTATTTTCGGCATTTTTGTGATTTAAGCGACACTATTCACCGCCTATAACACAAAATTGTCTATTTAAGTCCACGTATTCGCATAGTCCCCATCTCCCGATATTCGATACTTTGATGATTTCAGCGACATGGTATTTGAAGTTCGTTATGGATACTACATCCTGAAACTGAAAATTGTCTGTGCACGTCCACGTCTTCGTATAGCCCCCTTTTTTTTACCGACAATATATTATTTTAGCGAATTTATTCACCGGAATTATCTTATGTTTCGTATTTGAAGTTCCTAATATGTACTACAGCCTAAGACAGAAAATTGTCTGTGCAGGTCCACGTCTTCGTATAGGCCCCATATATCAGTACCTCCTTATATTCGGTATTTTGCTGATTTCAGCGACACTATTCACCAGCATTGTTCCAAATTGTATTTGAAATTCGTAAGTCGTACTACAGTCTATGACAGAAAATTGTCTAGCAGGTCCAGGTCTTCGTACTGGCCCCATATAACCGTACCTCTCTTTATTCGGTATTTTTATGATTTTACCGACATTATTTACAAGATCCTTTTTCAAATTTCGCATTTGAAGTTCTTAATTTGTACTACTGTCTATGACAGAAAATTGCATATGCTGGTACATGTCTTCGTATAGCCCGTATTATTTACAGTGTCGTTCTAATATGTTTACATTTTTCCCATGTATGTAAGGTAACACACCCATTGAGAGTGGTAGGGTCAATTTGACTCAAGTTTTGAATTTGGCTCAAATTTTCTGTCGGTTGTTTGTGATTACAGTGTCGCGAAAATCCTAAGTTGTTTCTTGATATAGAACTTTGTCTGGAATTGTTCCAGAATGGCTCTTAGGATATTCAAATTCAAAATTCTTAATTAAAACCCCCCAAAATTTCGATAAAAACTCGAAAATTTGCATGTTACCGTTTGTAACAACTTTAAATATTCGTCGTGGACCCCATAGAGTATATACATATGTTCATGATCAGCAACCAATTCTAAGTCGATTTAACCGGCCGAATTTTTTTTCTTTTTAACTAGTTTTACTTGCTTTTGAACTCATATTCTAACAGTGGAGCAAATCAGAATAGTGAACTATAATCTATATATATAGTTAAAGGTGGGTCTTCCATTGTCGTATGGCAAAATTTCTTGCAATAAAATCCTAAATTGCAGCGTATTTCGTTAGAAATTTATATGTCCTAAAACTTAAAATCCTAAAATACTAATTTGATTGGAACATGCTCTCAAAGTATTAAAATATTTAAAATCGACAGAAGCCGATAAATGGACACTGAACTGAACACAAGTACATTTTTAGGTATTTTCTGAAAAGTTGGCTTGAAAGTCTGTTTTGCTTCTGGGCCCCTAAAACAAGGCTTGGGAAGGCTTTTTTGCCACGTCGAGGAACCAATACTATCCACAAAACTGGATAGAAGAGCTTATTCGGTGGAAAATTGTGACAGAAACATGAAAATGATATGTTGATGTGTAATTCATTTAATACTTACAATTATTTCTGTCACCACCAAACAGTTTATGGTAGCGAATAAAATCAGGTCGACCTCCAAAAAATTTGCCCTTTTCATTAAGCACTTCGCGTATTTTGTCCAAACTGCTTACCACCAAACAACGTCTGGTCCCAAGAGTAAGGGAGTATACATCTCCAAATCTTTCTGAAAGTTCTGTAAGCCCTTGGAATGGAACTTTATATCCACTTAACCAGATTAAGTGTCCGAAAATAGGTAAAGGGGCTGGACCGGGTGCTTGTTTATATTGTTTCCTAATGTATTTAGTCCTGTTTTCACCATTAGTGACATTAGAAATATAAACTTTTCTGTAATAGTTGTATAGTGCATTTATATACATGCACACAACACAAAATAAAATACAGTTCAATATGGTAACTAAAACCATTATCATAAGAAAGGGGATTATTAATATGTTATATACTATCACGACACGAATAATCACTTCTTTTTTGTTTGGAAATTCAATTGTAATTGAAAAGGTTCGTAAACTTTTTTGAACTGAAGTGTATGACAATGTTGAAATGGAAATCATGAAAATTAAAATATGCGCAGAACGTAGATGTACCATAAAGGCCCCAATGATAAGGGCCATTTAAATATTGAGCAGAAAAGTGGGAAAACCCCTTAATTGGGAGGCATATATGTTGTATTGCGCACTGCATGTAAGACTTATATATATATATATATATATATATATATATATATATATATATATATATATATATATATATATATATGTACGAAAAAATGCACTCTGCTCGGTATTTTTGTGTTGCTTACTTAATTAATAATTTCCTAGAATCAGACAAATCGTTTTTACGTATTCCATTCCATTCTGACCAAAAGTTGCTGGTGCGATACGTACAAATTTTTACATTCAACTACATCGAATACATAGTCCATAACAGCAATACATAGTACGTAACAGAGAGCATTTTGTTACCTTATTTCCAAAAGATATGCCGTACACTCAAAGAGTTTTGGTTTCAAATGTTACAATTAAATTTCAATGTTAAAATTGATGAATGTGAGTTTTAAGTACTAAATTGAAATTAAATACGCTAAAGATGTAACTAAAATTGTAAATAATATGGAATAACCGGGGGTGCCGTCCAAGGTGGAGGGTATAAAAATAAAAGAAGCAAGTAAAAAGACATTAAGTTCGGCCGGACCGAGCTTATAATGCCCTCCACCATTGGGTAAAGAAAACATTTTTATGCAATAGTACCTGGATTCAAACGTTTTCCGATCGGTAATAGAATAGTTGGAGCCGTTATATGGGTCCGTACTAAAACGGGAGCCTATATAGACAATTTAATACTACAACTATTGTAATTTATTGCGAGTCATAAATACCACATTTCACATAATTTCGAGTGTAAATGTGACTAGGATGACCAGGACCAATATGGACAATGTTTTGACGAAGGTTTGTAGAACACATTATGAAGCAAAAATACCAAATTTCACATAAATCTATTAGAAAATGTGTCTTAAATTGTCAAATACCGGATATACGTTACGCGGACCTATATATTCAATGTTCTGCCGCCGGAACTATAACCCATAACGAACTATAAATACCAGTTTTTAGACTAATTGGTGGAAATATGTGGCTAAAACTATCGAAATACCGAATATCGGGAGGTACCGTTATATTCAAACCTGAGACGATACTGATACAATTTAGCAAAGCTATTTCCAAGCTCCACAATATATTTTGTACCAAATATCATTGTTGTGGAGTGCATATTACGAATGTTGAACCGATTCTCACCAATTTCAATAGGGTTCGTCTGGAAAATTTCATTTCAATGCGTTCGTATATATGTACTCCCTCAACTCGTATTGCTGAAAGTGATTTCCTGGAGCTGCTTGAGGCAAAACAAGTAAAAAAGCTGTAACCGAACTTTGAATGCCCTTCACCATTTGGTACAAATTTGGCAATTTAAAAAAAAAAAAAATTAAATCCGATAAAAATTTAAATTTATCAGTCGTTGATGAGACTTCAACGAATGGAGACATGCGTGGGGGATGCACGCATTGTTGCTCCGTTAACATTAATAAAACATATTATAGATAGCTTTTGTAGAAAAATATAAATATATGGAGCTTATATATATTGCTTTTTAATATTTTTTCTAACATAAAACTCGTTTTTTTGTTACAAAACGTCGAAAATCAACAAGGAGATATCTTTTACGAGCTTTTCAGTTTCTTTCTCACACACAAGCGCAATGTTCATTTTGTGCATGTAAGAGTTAAACGTATCAAATACATATATATATATATATATATATATATATATATATATATATATATATATATATATATATATATATATATATATATATATATGTACGAAAAAATGCACTCTGCTCGGTATTTTTGTGTTGTTTACTTAATTAATAATTTCCTAGAATCAGACAAATCGTTTTTACGTATTCCATTCCATTCTGACCAAAAGTTGCTGGTGCGATACGTACAAATTTTTACATTCAACTACATCGAATACATAGTCCGTAACTGCAATACATAGTCCGTAACAGAGAGCATTTTGTTACCTTATTTCCAAAAGATATGCCGTACACTCAAAGAGTTTTGGTTTCAAATGTTACAATTAAATTTCAATGTTAAAATTGATGAATGTGAGTTTTAAGTACTAAATTGAAATCAAATACGCTAAAGATGTAACTAAAATTGTAAATAATATGGAATAACCGGGGGTGCCGTCCCATGTAGACTATTGTTTGCTCTAGTGGTTAGTTTCTATTTAATATTAACTTTGAGCCACTTTAGTTAAAATATGTAGCAGAAGTCATGAAAAGCTGAAAACTGAGTATCTGGAAGTACCGTTATATCGGTTAGATATTAGAAAGTTGATCTATTTTCATAATTTTCTGACACCAAACGTAGATCCCATTGCAAGCAATAAATAAAACAAGTAAAAAAGCTGTAAGTTCGGCCGGGACGAACTTTGAATACACTCCACCATTTGATACAAATTTGGCAATTTAAAAAAATTAAAATCTATTAAAAATTCTGTTAAAATAGTAAAAATTCAGAATGTAGCCGTATACTGGGGTCTATACGACGACGTGGACCTGCATACGCAACTTTTGTCATAAGCCTGCACAGACAATTTTGTGACATAGGCTGTAGTATCCATTACGAACTTCAAATACAAAATTTGAATTAATTCCTGTAAATAATGTCTCTAAAATCTACAAAATACCGTATATCGGGGGTACCGTTATATGGGGCTATACGAAGACGTGGATCTACATGGCACACTTTCAATACCAAAAGTCCTGCAGACATAATACACATTTGAGTAAATTTTTATTATCTCACTTCGTTTCGTTTGGAAGCTAGAGTGATTTCCACAGACGGATAGAGGGACGGACATTGTTAATCGAGGTAGAATGTTATGCTGATCAAGAATATGCGGCTACATTTGGTATTTTTAAGATTTTAACAGAATTTTTAATGGATTTTAATTTATTGAAAATTGTCAAATTTGTACCTAATGGTGGAGGGTATTCAAAGTTCAGCTTTTTTACTTGTACAGCTTTTTTACTTGTTATATTAAAAAATTTTGAAAAAAAAAACTTTTGTGAAAATGTCTAATTATTTCCAGTGTCGTTCTCATATTTTTACATTTCTTACCCATTTATATATGTACTAGCTGAACCCGGTGCGCTTCGCTACCCCTTTGGATTTCATATGTATTCAAAATTCTGTAAACGAATATTTGTTGCTTAAAAAAATGAAATAAATTCAAAAATTAAACAAAAAAATTATTGTCATACTTTAATGCGTAAACAAACATTTAGCTCGGTCTACCAACGCGTGAACATGCCAGAAAAAGCTGACCATGAGAAAAGCAGGAACATACCAAATTTAGTCCGCATACACGGTGGGCCTTCGGATTTATTAATTTCATAGTAGGAAACTACAATATTTTGAAGTGAAATTCGATGTAGCTACATTCGATGTAGCTACATATTTCGCCTTATAATCGTATCCACAATTAAATTTTTGTGTAGTTTTTTACTGCTACCCTAATACAAATGCAGATGTGTTGTGGGTTAATGCTTCAAATTCCGTTACGCATTCTAAATTTGAAGACTGTATCTGTAATCGATCAATAGATATGTGTATATAAAATCTAAATTTTTGGGAGGTATCTCCGATTCTAATGTTATATCTAAAGTTCCAAGTGGAATTTCAAATATTTATATAGCATATGTTAAATTCAGGCGATGTTGTAGTATACTTAGAATCGGAAATACATATCGTGTTTGGATACATTACATTAAATTGGCCAAAATATATACATGTGAGCTATACCCAAACCTAAATCAATTTCAATATAATTTGGCAAATTTTTTGATACCAAATTTCGTCTCTTTGTCCGAATTTAATTGGAATCGGTCATACATATCGCGTACATCAAATATGTAAAATCGCCCGAAAATGTATATGGGAGCTATATCCAAATCTTAACCGATTTGAATGTAACTGACAAATTTATAAATTTATTATGATCAAATCCCGTCACACATTCCAAATTTCATTGAAATCGAACATACATATCGTGTTTGGTGTATCAAATTAACGAATTCGGTCGAAAATATATATAAAAGCTATATCCAAATCTGAACCGATTTCAATATAATTTGGCAAATTTATTTTCTGATCTAATTCCGTCATTCATTTCAAATTTCATTAAAGTAGAACATACATGACGTGTTTGGTGTATCAAATGAACGAAATCGGTAGAAAATATATATGGGAGCTTTATCCAAATCGGGACCGATTTCAATATAATTTGACAAATATATTTTTGTTTTAAATTCCGTTACATATTCCAAATTTTATTGAAATTAGAGATACATAGCATTTTTGGCGCATCAAATACATGAAATCGGCCGAAAATATATATGGGAGCTATTTCCAAATCTAAACAATTTTAAACATACCTCTAATTCTGATGCTATAACTCCAATTCCAAGCGGAATGTCAAAAATTAATAAAGCATATGTTTCTTTCAGGTGATGTGAAAATTTGTGTAGTAGTTTCGAGATCATGAATTACAAATAAACATACAAACATTTCCCTCTCATATAGATATAGATATTTGGCCCCAACCCTTGAACATCGACAAAAAATACACTCTGCTCCTTTTGTGTTGTTTACTTAATAAATAATTTATTAGTTTCAGAGGAATCGTGTTTATGTATTCCATTTTTTGACCACCAGTTGCTAGTGCGTTACGTAGATATTTTCACATTCAACAACATCGATTAAACTCTCCAATACATAGTCCATAACAGAGAGCGTTTTGTTATCTTATTTCCAAAAGATGTACCGTAGACTCAAAGAGTTTTGAATTTCAAATGTTACAACTAAATTTCAATATTAAAATTGTTGAATTTGAGTTTAAAGTACTAAATTGAAATGAAATCCGCTGAAAATGTGACTAAAATTTTAA